TGAGTATCAGCTCTTACCACAGTGATGATCGGCAACAAAACACACTGAAACTCATTGGCATACAGTAATAAGCATTTATTCTCATCTCTGCCTCATCCTGAAAGTTGGCAGAAGTTGGCTCACCTTGTCGGGCTTTAGCTGGGCTTAGCTCCAAGCTTCATATTGGGTCCGGCTCTGCTCCATGTGCCTCTAATTCTTGAACCAGCAGTTTAGCCGGGGCAGGTATATACAAATTTTCGTCTCCTTTAGTTCATGTTGTTCTCTGTCAAGAATGTTCTTCCTCAGACCTTTTTGAAATCTTTTCCATTCACTTCACTCTCTAATTTTTATGTTGAATATCATTCTGTATACAAAAACATTGAAATACAAACAGCATTAATTTTCTTGGACATTTTCCTCCATACGAGTAATACTAAAGAAATTAACTATATTTCTGTAATATCATCTATCTGCCTAGGCATATGCAATTTTCCTATGTTATACCAAAAATGTTTTTTATATTGCTGCTTTAAACTAGAGTTCAGTCAGATTCATTTTTGCAATTTTTGAACCTTGTTAGTCTCTTCCCAATTTATGAATGTAGTATATCTCTTATTTATTTAAGTCTTTTTTCTCTCAGCAATATTTTGTAGTTTTCAGAGGTCTTCTATATATATATATTTATTTTTTAATATATCTTTATTGGTTTCAGAGAGAGGAAAGGAGAGGGAGAGAGAGAAACAGAAACATCAATGATGAGAGTCATTGAGTGGCTGCCTAGCCTGCAACCCGGGCATGTGCCCTGACCAGGAATCGAACCCCGATTGCCTGGATCCCAGGTTGACACTCAACCGCTGAGCCACGCCCAGCCAGGCTTCAATATCTTTTGTTAAATTCTTTAATATTTTGTTTTTGATGCTACTGTAAATTATTATTTAAAATTTTTATTTTCCAAATATTTGTTGCTAGTGAAGAAATTCAGTTGAGTTTTATGTACTGTGTAACCTTGATAATTTAGAAGCTTCAATAATCAGATTCATTTGGATTTATGTACCCAATCATGTTATTTTCTTGCCTTGTTTTATTGACTAAGATGTCAAGTACAATGTTGAATATAAATGGTTTCAGTGGATATCCTTGCCTAATTCTTAATCTTAGAAAGAAAGCATTATTTTACAAATAAGTGTGATGTTACCTGTGGAATTTTTTTTTTAAGGTAGGCTTTATCTATTTGAAGAAGTTTCCATCTATTTCTGGTTTGCTGAAAGTGTTTATTAAGAGGTACTGAATTTTGTTAGATGCTTTTTGCTGCATCTGTTGAAATGAGCAAATTATTTTTTTCTGCTTTATTTTCTGAAATGTAGTGAAATGCATTGATATTTGAATATTACACCAACCTTGCATTCCTGGGATAAACTCTGCTTGGGCATTGTATGTTATACTTTATGTATACTGTTAGGTTTAATTTGCTAATATTTTGTTGAGGGTTTTATGTCTCTGTTCATAAGGGATGTTGATCTGATCATTTTTGTTTCTCATATTGTCATCAGCTTTTAGTATCAAGTTTATTCTGGCTTCATAAAATGAATTAAGAAATGATCCCTCTTTTTATATTTTCTGAGTTGGTTTAAAATTGGTATTATTTCTTTCTTAAATGTTAGATAGAGCCCTGGCCCATGTGGCTCTATCTAACATTGGTTGGAGCGTCATCCTGTACACCGAAGGGTGGCAGGTTCAATTCCCTGTTAGAGCACATGCCCAGGTTGCAGGTTTGATTACATTGCTTACAGGATGCAACTGAACAATTTCTTGCATTGATGTTTCTCTCTCTCTTTCTCCCCCCCTACTCCCCAGAATCAATTTTTAAAAAACATATCCTCGGTGAGGGGGGAAAAAAGTTAGATAGAATTTACTATTAAAACCATCTTGGCCTGGAGTTTTCTTTTGGGAAATTTTAAAATTTCATATTAAATTTAAAAAATAAAATGTAATTTATATTTTCTGTTTCTTCTTGAGTCAATTTTGGTAAGATATCTATGTGGTAATGTCTCTTCTTTCATTCCTGGTAGTGATAATTTGTGACTTCTCTCTTTTTGTCTTATTTAGTTTGGTTAGAGGCTTCTCAGTTTTATTGGCCTTTTCATAAAACACATTTGCTTTCACTGATTTTTCTCTAGCATTTTTCTCTTTTTCATCAATTTCTGCTCTTTATTTCCTTCCCTCTATTTGATTTTGCCTTCATTTGATCATCTAAAAAGATGGTTCTTAAAGCAGAGGCAAGGATCGTTGATTTTTTTTTTTTTAGCATCATTATTGATGCTTTAAAGTTTCTTTTATGTTCTTCTCTACCAGCATCCCACAAATTTTGATGTGTTGTGTTATTTTCATTCAGTTCAAAATATTTTCCTAAAGTCTCTATCTACATGCTCCAGCATCTGAGTCACCTCTGAATCATTTTTTTGTGGTTTTTGTTTGTTTAGTTTATTTTGCTTATTTGTGTTTTGGTTAACTATAAAATAGTAGAGGCTGAAGTAAATAGCTTAAAAACCTGTAAATGGGTACATCTCTTCTTGTTTGGGCCTGTTAGTGTGGGAATTTAAGTCAGTCTCATTAGGAGTTAAAGTGGGATTGAGATTTTTGTTTTCTCTAGTCCATTCATTGCACCAGAGGCCTCAGATTCTTCTAATGTTGCCTAGTGTGTAAGGTAGGGGTGAAATGTCAATATTTTTCTTAGTATTTGTGCTTCAGTCTGCACGCCTGCTCCGTAGAGGAGTTTCTTTCCTCACTCTTGCCCCTTCTCAGTGGTAAACTGGTGTTGCTTTTTAGTGCTTTCAACATTGTTGTGCTATAGCCTCCATCTTAGGTAGATTATGTGTACCTGGATCTCAAATATGGGAGTCTCTCAAGAGTTTCTGCTCCCTACACCTTCTAAGGGGGCCTCTAGTCCTACTGATAAAGATTCTGGGCTCAGGACTCTTCTTATCCCTCTTCCTCCCAGGAATTGAGGGGTTTTCCCTCCTCCAACAACACAGCATGGAATTTGCTTCCCTTTTCTCAGTGACTGAAAGCTTTTGCTCTCTCTACATGAAAAGGATCTGGGCAGATCCTTGTTCTGGGGGGCAGATCCTTGTCACAGAGGCAGCCAATTCCTTGCACCACTGAGAATGGCTCTTGATTTTCCGCCCTGTTTCCTGTCATCCTCATAGGCATTGAGGATATATGAGTGAGTACAAACTGTCTGAGGCTTCCAGGGGTTTTATACTGTGAAGTTATCCCATAGTCATACTTAGCAATTTCTTATAATTTTAGGTGATTTCTTGCTTTTATGACAGCAGTATCTTCTTGCTCTGTCACAGGTGACCCTTTTCTGGCATCCTTTTTCTCTTTGCAAGTCTCTGTCCATCCTTGGAATTCAGGCTACTTGGTTATCTTATGACTTTAGCTCCCTGGTGGATTCAGGAAAATTTTGGGGTAGTTTAGAAGTGTTTCGTTTAATTGCCAGTGTTCTAGGGTTTTTCAAATATCTTTTTGTTATTTTTAGTTTACTTTCATTGTGGTTAGAGAACATACTTTGTATACTTTGTATACTTTTAAATGTGTTTAAGACTTATTTTATGGTCTATTTTAGGCACTGTTCCATGTATAATTACTGGGTAGAATGTTTTATAATAATGAGTTGGTTGAAAATGTGTAAATCTTCTATTCTTAGTTATTTTTTTCTATCAGTTACCAAGGGAGGGGTGTTAAAATTATCAGCTATGATAGTGAGTCTGTTGATTTTCCACTTCATGTATTTTGAACACCGTTATTTGGGATTATTATGATTTCTTGATAAATTAATCCTCTTGTCATTATGAAATGTGCCTTTTTTACTCTGGAAATGCTTGTCTTAAAATCTACTCTTAAGAGTAGCCTCCCAGTTGCCTCTTCCTGCTGGGTGTTCCCCCCGCCCCCCAAGTCTCATCTTGAACACTTACGAATTAAGAGTTAGCCAAAGATGTAGAGACAATTTGCATACAGATTTTTCAGCTTCACCCTTTGGGATTCTTTCTGAGTTTTTTTTTCCTTACTGTCTGCCACCTCGGCAGCCTTAGTCTCTGACCTGTGACTTCTCAGTCTGGTAAAACTGCTGCTTTCTGCTTGAGCTCTATTCCCTATCTCTCATGTTGATTTGAAAGTTCTCCCATGGGGAAAATTTGGAACCTCCACTTTAAAAAAAAAAAAAATCCCATTACTTTGACTTTTTGGAGAGTCCTGGCCAGCCTTCTTATAAAAGTCCTACAATCAGGACATTTGTCTGATTGTTTCCTTAGGGTCATGTTTAACTTGTTCCTTTATCCTTTGTATTTCCTATAAACTAGAATTAGATCAAGAGACTTGAATAGATTTAGGGTAAACATTTTTTGGCTTCATAGATGATGTCTGTACTTCTGTTGCGTTATATCCACAGGATAATATATTTGATAGCCCCAATATTGGTGGTGATTAGTTTGATCACTCAGTTAAGATGGTTCTATCCACTGTAAAGACTTCTTTTCCCTTTGTAATTATTAAGTAATTTTTAGGGCGGTAAATTGCATTCTCTTTGTATTTCCCACCCTACCCAAATGTTACCCCTTCATTCTAATCAGATGCCAGTACAGAGTGACACTTAAGCATTAGCTATTCTTACTGTTATTTAGGTCCCATTCCCAACCAGAAGTCCCTATAGTTTCTAGTTTATACATACTATATATATATTTAATGGCATATATCTCGTATGTGTGGTGGCTATATAAATACTTTTCATTTTTACTGGATTTTCAGGTGCTGAATGCATATATCACATCTTATAAGTCTGTTTCCCATAGCACTTAACTAACATTTTGCATATAGTAGGCACTCAGTAAATGATTTTTTTATAGAAGAGAAAATTAGCTAAGAAATCTCAAGCCTTTTTCTATTAAAGCACTTTTCAATCTCTGTCTTAGGTACTAGTTAAGTTTAATGTTAATTACACTTTTATTTATTTTTCTTTGTAGGTAAATGAGAAAACGGGGCAGATTATACAGTATGATAAATTTTATATACATGAAGTACAAGAATTGATAGACATAAGGAATGATTATATCAACTGGGTTCAACAACAGGCCTATGGAATGGTATGTTTCCTTTTGCATTTTGTGATTTTATTTTTATGTATTATTTGTCCTAATATGAAAATAATTGCTTGTTTTTGAAACACAGTTTCTTTTTCAGGGCTTTAATGCAGAGCTCATTATTGAAATAAAAACATTGCAAAGGAGAAACTGCATATTATACATATTTATAAATAAACATTCCATTCTTATATCAAAGCTGAACCAAAGAGGTAGATTACACTTTTTTAACGAAAAATGCAAATTTGACATGGATTTATAACCCTCATTTGTTTTCAATGTGATTGCCTCTTAATTCTCTAATGTTGAGAATATTGGAGCCCCTGATACTGGGACTCTTAAGAATATAGTATTACTATTGTGAGATCAGTATCTCAGAGCTACCAGGGGAGAGCCCTAGGACCATTCATTCTATTTTTTATTTCTTCCCATTTTATATGTTTAATTTCAGATTTCTTCATTTACATCCACATATATATACTTTTATGTGGCTAAATCTCTAATAACTGGACACTTAATGTTCCATTAAAATAATAAGAGACTTATGAAACTTGAATGAGACATGCAAAATTGTAATATGGAAATGTGTAAACAGCTAGATATAAAACAGCCAGGGTTAATACTCTTGTTTACTAACCATTATAGTGTATTTGAGGCCTTCTTTTCCACCTCCGAAGCAGATAATTTAAGCATTGTGTGTTAGCAGTTGTAGAAAGGTGAATAGCCTTTCACTGCATTGCATAACTCCTTGTGGATAGGCACTCTGTCAGTTTATTTACCAGCACCTCTAATAGTGTCTGGAATATGTCTAGTAGACACTAAAAAAGTATTATAGTTTTTGAATGGCAGTATGGTTAGTGAATGCTATTTTTAGGATACTCTCATCTATAGATATCAGGTCACTTCTAGAATATCTTTTGCTTCCCTAGGTACTTGTTTATATTGATTTCCCTGATTCCCACTCCCCCATCCCCCTGAATCACTGGGAACCTAGGTCAGTTTTACAGTTATTCCACAGACTTAGGACTACTCATTTGCTCATTCAACAAATATTTGTTGGGAATCCCCTATGTAACCGACACTTATTTAGTTATTGGAAATACAGTGATGAACCAGATAGTTAAGGGTCCTTTTCTCATAGAACTTACAGCCTAATGGGCAAGATGGACAGTAATCAAAGCAAAATTTAGTTAATAATATGCACTTATATAGAGAATTAAAATAAAAGAATGTAATAAAGACTATGGTTTCATGCAGCTGGGTAATCAGAAAAGTCTTGTCTAATGAAGCTGTAATCTAAATGTTAAGAAGTAGCCATGTAAGTTCAGAGTAGAGAGAATTTCAGGAAAAATGAACACCTAGTAAAAGATCTTGGGTGAGAAGAATCTTGACATGTTTGAAGGATAGAAAGAGGTCAGTATGGCTAAAACATGGGAGTGGGAAGAGTTCTGGGAAAGGATCAAGAGAAATGGACAGGTGCCAGATCATGGAGGTTTTATAACTTAGGATCAGAAACTTGGATTTTGTCTGAAGTGTTGTGGTAAGCCATCGAAGGGTGGCAAGCGGGGAATTACAGTGTGATTTGTATTTTTAAGTCGTCATTCTGTAGGCTCTGTGGAGAATGGAGTGAGGAGAATGAAGCAAAAAATGAAAGAGGGGAGACTAGTTAGAAGACTGTTTTAGTAGATTAGGGGAGATAAAAATTATTGGTTTGACTAGGCTGGTGGTTGTGTAGATGAAAGAGGGAAGTAGCCTCGGAAGTAAAAGGGGCAAGAATTGCTGATGCATTGGAGATGCAATGAGGAAAGGAGAGAAATCAACAAAGGTTAAGGAGTGGTGGGTGCAAGGTAGGAGGAAAACGAGAAGAGAGTTGTGGAAACCAAAATTAAGTGAAGGAGAGACTGTGTTAAATGCTGCTGAGAAATAAAATAAAATCATAGAATTGAGCAATGAATTTGGTTACATGAAGGTTATTGATAACCTGGCTAATGCTAGTCTAGGGTGATGTATGCTTAAAGGAAATTTGGAGGTGAGGAATAGGGATCAACAGCCTTAGGCAATACTTTCAAGAAGTCCTGCATTGAAGAGAAAGGAGTAAAAAAAGTGGAGTGGTAGCTAGAGTCCAGAGACAACAGTTTTTTAAGAAAGAAAATATTTGACCTTGGGAAAGTTTTGAATAAGTATTTCCTTTTCCTTCCCTACTTAAACTAAATCTCTCACCTAGGCAAAGCTTTTTAAACTCTTTCTCCACAGCATCCCTAAGAGCAGGAAAAAGCCCGGATAGAGTGCTCAGTGGTTGCACACGGACCTGTGATCCAAGAGGTCACTGGTTTGATTCCCGGACAGGGCACATGCTCGGGTCCAGGCTCGATCCCCAGTAGAGAGCGTTCAGGAGGCAGCTGATCGATGAAGATTCTCTCTCATAGGTGTTTCTGTCTCCCTATCTCGTGCTCTCTCCCTAAAATAAATAAAAACATATTTAAAAAATATATGTATAAATATACAAACCCTAAACTAGTTCTAAACTCCTGGTGCCTAGCTTTTAAAAGAATTCTAAAACCCTAACAAATTTATAAATTATATATAATACTACAGATTTAAAAATAAAGTTAATATTTAGTATGGAAGATGATTATGTTCTGGTGATCAGGAATCTCAGCTCACACCAAAATATGGCAAAGAAGCACTATAACATAAGTGCACCCAGGTTCAAATTCTGTCTCAGCATTTATTCATTCTGTGTTTTGGGGGGAAATTACTTAATTCCTTTTCTGTAAAGTAGGATAATAGTACCTACCTTTTATAGTTACTGAGATTAATTTATGTGCTCTATTTAAAGTGCTTAGGGCAGTTCCCAGGGCATAGTTAAGTCTTGGTAAAAGGGTGGTTATTATTGGCTGTCTTGACACATACTTGAAGTTAGGCAGTAACCTCTATCCTAAGGTGTCTGGTCTGATAACTGTTCTCTTGCTGCCTTTCTCTAAATGAGCTACAATAAAACATTTGCTTTTAGGATGAGTTGGGATACTCATTTGGCCTTCACTCATCAAGCACACCATTTCTGTATGAAGTCCTAGACATAGAGATCCTCTTTGGTGCCAGTTTGATTATACTCACAACCATTGCAACTCTTGGAGTTTCATGGTAATACTGGTATTATAAGTGGATTATCCTAATTTTAGATTAATCAGTTTTTTAGAAATTATTGCTATAAAAACCTAAAATTAAAAATCCTCCTGGAGCACTTATAGAATACTAGGAATATATCCCCAGGAATCTACAAGCCCAGTTTTAGAAACATTATCCTAGACAGTCATATCCTCCTGGATCACTGTGAATTAGAGCAGATATCCTTTGACATCTGAATTTATATCTAGTATATAGGTCATAAACTACTTGTATTCTTAACAAGTTAAGAGACATGCTAGTCTAATAGGATTTTTTTAGTTAGCAGTAATCTTGTGCTAAGTAGAGAAGCTATGGTTTGATTGTTTGCTTTTAAGTTTGGCAGGCCTGTATCTAAATTCCTCTTGGTGTATAACTGAGGTGATACCAAATTGAATTTCTTAGTAGCTGTCTCAGTGTGACTGTTTTCTGGTAAAGGAAGGCAGTTAGAGGACTACCTTCTTATTTCTTGGCTTTTCCTCTTCTCATTGTTTTTGGATCTATTATATGGTTGCTATACTTCAGAATTGCCCTTTATTACTCTACTCTTTCAACCACTGCTTTTCCTTTATTTATAGAAAGAGTGATATTGAATAGGTGGTTGAGGCAGTTTCTGCTTGTTCCTTATTTAATTTGTTTTAGTGGGTTTAATATCATATCTTACAAATCAGAATCCAGAACCCAGATCCAGATTTGGGTTCTTCTGATCTCTCTCTGGGAATAGAAGGCTTACAGTTTACAGTGAAGGTCTTTGACTATGCAACTCTTAAAAAGTTCATTAATTTATAACATTTAACTTCACAGAGCTTTTTTCTTTGAGAGTTCTAAACACTTTCTCATTTACACATAACTCTAAAGACTTTTTTTCTTGGGGCTTTTTAATAAAAGTCATACTTGTGTCACTAGTCTTAATACTGAGTTGAACATTATGTTGACCCTGTAAGTAAAGTTTTAAAGAATCTATCCTAAATTTCTCACATGCTATTTTGTGATGATACAGGTGTGTTTATATGTATATCTACTCATATATATATACCATTATTGAACAAGGCTTATGATCTTGAAATAATTCCATTGTTTCAGTGTGAACATTTAAAATATTCTTTGATAGAACATAATTACTATGAATTATGTGTATAAATTTTATTTAGATATGCACATCACTTTACCTTCTTCTAAACACTGCAGAAAATTATTTTACCTTTATTATATTTGTCTTTATGCCATAATCTGTTGAGATTTTTGTTCTTCATTTACTTTCTTTCTCAGTCAAGGATTTTAAGAATCTCTCAGGAATACACGTCTCTGATTCCTTACTATTGAAAGCTAATTCTGTGAAATCTTTCCTTTCCTTGTAATACCTTTTTGTCCTGGTGAGACTTCTGCCTATACCTCGTGCCCTTCCATTTTTCCATCCTGTTTCACCTATTTCTCTTTACATTTTCGTGAAGTTGTTTTGTTTCGTTTTTATCCTCGCCCAAGGATTTCTTTCTCATTGATTTTTTTTAGAGAGAAAGGAAGGGAGAGAGAAACATAGATGTGAGAAAGAAACATTGATGGGCTGCCTCTCAAATGCTGCCCTACTGGGGATTGAACCTGCAACCTGGATCTATGCCCTGACTGGGAATCGAGCCCTCAGCTTTTTGGTGTACAGGGTGGTGCTCCAACCAGCTGATCCTCCCGTCAGGGCTTCATGCAGTTTTGACTTAATCCTCCTGTTCCTGCTGGTGACTACACATCTTTGTTTAAGTTTGCTTTTCAAGACTCTGATCTCAACGTAGGAAGCTCTTTTGTTATTTGGATTTCTTTTGCTTTTTATCTTATTTTTCTCCCTCTCT